ATTAACAGTATTTTTTTTTCTAACACAATTACCAAAAAAAAAAAAAGAAAAAAAGAAAAATCCATTAATTTTTCAATATTTCCTATTAACTTTGTTAGTTATTTTAAATGTAATATTGATCAAACATTCTATAATTATTGTTCTATTTATTTTTTTTAACACTTTTTCTTTTTTGTTTTTTAATTATTTCAAATGATAAGATATTTCAGGCCGGAGATTATATACTGGTACATGGTGAAATGGACGGGGATAAATTTTATAATGGTGAAACATTGGATGGACAAACAGGTTTAGTGCCATCAAATTACGTGGAACGTGTCCCAAGTCAGCAATTATTGCAGAATATATCCCGCATTGGATCACCATCATTTCCCTTAACAGTACCTCCACATTTAACCCAAATTCAACATGATTTTTCCACCACTTCTTTGACTCATTCTGGTACCACAGGTATAGCTGCAACTCTTCAGCCATTATCGACAACACCGCCACTGCCCGATTCAGTTTGCCCTTATCCGCCTGTTGATATTGCTAAAGTTACTGTGCAGGAAGTGAAAATTACCGATATTCCACGTGGTAAGTTTTGTATTCTTTCAGTATTAATTAAACCATGTGTAATTAATTAATTAATTACATCTAACTGGATGTTAACATTATCACAAAATCGATAGTTATATCATTTATCGTTAGTAATTAATTTACTAATTAATGATCATTCACTAAACAGCTTATATGATTTATATTTGAAAATAAATATTAATTTGTCGGTATGGAAATTTACTTTAATTTTGAATGCATTTCGATAATTAATACATTCCTATCTTCTGATCATAATATTTTTGTTTTCTTTTTTTTTTTTCTTATAATCTTTATTTTCTTTCATTTTAAGAAATATATTTCATTTTTTTCTCTTATAACTGCTTGAAAATTTCTCAATTAATTACATTTTATCCTTATTGATATCTATGAATTTCTCGATTATTGATATCGATGGACAAAATGTGCAATTTTTATTGTGAAACAGTAAATGTATAATAAATCTATTATCATAATATTTAATTATTGTTTTATGCCTTTTATTGTAACGAGCAAGAAAACAAAAAATTGGAGGCAAATTGTATATGCTTATACAATCGAATTTAATAAATAATATTAATCGAAAAATTCCTAAATGATTATGAGAAAAAAAAAAATTTAATGTAATAGCAATGTATATATGCTTACAAAGTTGCTGAAATTTGAACGAAATTGATTATCACTGTTCTGATGGTACCGATACAACAAATACATTATTATTGCATTAAATGATTTCATATTTTACCACAAACGAAAGTTTTTCTTTTTTTCAAAATTTATTTCATACCTTTTTTTCAAAATTTTTGTACCATTTTTATTATTTCCATATCCCTTTTTTACCATCTTAATTGTATTAAATTTATTCAATTTACCGTAAATTTTTTTTTTTTGTTCTTTCTCTGTTAACACCATTCTTCATTTATCACTAAGATAATGATTTTCAAATAAACTTAATGTAATTTTTTGAAATATATTTTTAAATAATACATTCAGAAGAAATTCTTAATTAATTACCAATATTGTGTGTAATACATGAGCAATTATACTGGACATTGTTAAGATTCTATCACATTGCTGTAAATATAACAACTAATAGTTAATAAAATTTCAAATCATAAAGATAAAGCGAATAATTTATGAGTTCACATTACTGGAAATGTTTAATTTTCTTTTCCATTCAACTTTCAAATTTTTCACCAACTGATTTTAATATTCGGAAATTTTCTCTCTTAATTTATTAAGTATAGTAAGATAACTTTGGATATTATATCATATTTACTTAATATTCTATCATACTTTAATTTATTTCATAATGTTTCCAGAACTGTTAAATTTTAATGCATTTCTCATTTACTTTATGTTATGCTCAATATCTTTATAATCATCATGAAGAATGACATTGTAGTTGACATGCTTGTTTACGTGATCACGTGTTATGTGAAATTATCATATGATCAGAAAAATTGCATATGAATCATCGAGTGGATAATCTCTTTAGGGATTTTGAAATTTTTAAATCATGTGATATATTCGAGCATTATAATATTAAAAAGCTATAGCACCGTAGTGCAAAACTACAAATCAATTTTTATGATAAAAAATTTTTTTTTCTTTTGATTCATTAAAGGCATTTTTTTTAAAATAATTATTGTTTGAGTAATATATTCATTTACTGGAACTATTATATAATGTTCAGAAACAAAATTAATAGATATCATTCATTTTATTATTAAGTATGAAATCAATGAAAGGATATCATTTGTACAATTTTTCTGAAAATTTCCCGATTCAATTGTATTGAATTATAGGCAGTCTTCCGGTTTATTTGCCATCTCCATTTTTAAATTACAATCAAATTTAGCATCGAAATTGTAATTTTGTAAATTCGAAATATAGAATTGATTCTGTTCATTTTTTTTTGATTGATATTGCTCTATCTTTTGAATAATAAGTATTACGTCTAACCGTTCATTTAGCAGCGTTTTTTAAAATATAAACTTTTTAGCAATTTTAATGAGTAAACTCATTACTTACTACGAATAGAATTTGATATAGTAATATCACGTTTTCAAGACGGAAAGTGCATTAAAATTTGATGACATATAAAAATGAATTTCAAGATGAATTATCTAAAATTTTTTTCAAATATATTGATGTATTAAGCATATCAGTCGCATTGCAGTATAATGCAATAATTAATCATATCATGATTAATTGAAATCATATCACATTTTGCTGTACTGCACTGTATCGTATGTTATCATATTGCATGATATTGTATATTGTATCACGTCGATTCTGGTTGTATTGTATATCATATCTTGTCATATTGTATCATACCGTGTCGTATTGTATCATATCTTGTCATATAACAATATACATAATACCATATATCATGCATCGTATTGTACCATGTCGTATCTAAGCGTACTGTATTATATCGTATTTTGTTGCATTATATCATATCGCATCATATCACATTATAGTATTTCATCAAAGTGGTATGATTTAAAAATTAAGCAATTATTATGAATTTGTTTATTTTATTTTCGATTAAAGCAAGGATTTGAATTTTAGTAATAACTCCGCAGTTGCAATATTTTATGCATCTAATACACCCTTCCGAAATTAAATTGCTATAGTACAAAATTGAATGAATTAAATATATTTTATTTTATCATCATATCTCAATTATTTAACCTAATAGTCAATTTCTCTTTTTTTTAAAAAATTATTTTATTAATTTGAGGAATGATTTAACAATGATGAAAAATTGTAACAAATAAATGGAAAAATTTTTTTGCCTTTTTTTATTATAAAGATTTTTACTTTTAATCTTCTAACAGTAAATTAATTACTGCTTGTCAACATCATTTATGGCACAAAAAGAATCGTTGCTTATACTATAAAATTATTTTCACAATATTCAGCAATGTTCCTATTGTTTTCTATTTTCTTTCATTAGCTATTTCCGCCTTTTTTTGCATTTTTTAGGAAGGAATATTTTTTGTTTTTTTTTTTATCCTTCCAAAATTCAATTTTGATTTTGCCTAAATTTCGTTTTATTGCTTTAATAAAGTTTAGTCTAATAAATTTCTTTATATGACAATAGAAAAAAAGAAAACTATATATTTTATTTTTATTGTTGCATGGATTTGTCATCAACTTATACTCAAATGAAAATATTGACTTTCCTTTTTTTTGAGGGGGAAAAGAGGAAAGAAGTGAAATATTTTAGGGCGGGAATAGAAATGATAACAAAAAAGAGAAGAAGAAAAGGCAAGAGAATAAGAAAAGAAAGAGAGAGAGAGAGAGAGAAAAAAGACAAAAAAAAGCCCAAGGAACGAAGTGGTGTACCGTTTGTCTTTTCATTTTAACTTGAACGGAGGAAAAGATGAGGCCTAAAGGAAAGCTAATGTAATCCATTTGGGCTCCATCCAATGCTTCTTCTTCAACGTCTAGTCCCGCCTTTGTTTAAAGCCTATACTTGAGCATTACCTTACTTAAGGCATTTTTCAGAGATATAAACATATATATACACATATATGTTTATCTCTCTCTCTCTCTCTCTCTCTCTTCCTCTCTCGACCTCAACATCACTAAATAAAAGTTTTGCTGATGAATGCTTGAGGGCCATATATAGCCTTGATGATTATTTAGCAAGCAAGCAAACAAAATTCTAGCTTAAGTTATTCAAAAAGCTTAAGGATTTAAAAATGGCAAGATATATGTATGAGTAGACGAAATAGATAAAGTTAGGAAGAGCGATACAAATATGCTGCTAGAGAATTCCTGCTTTTCATTGATTTGCCACTATGATAAAAAGTAGAAATTATGTTGGTAAGGAAAAAAAAAAGAAATTGCAATAATAAAG